GAACTATATAATGGCAAATTATATACCTCACAATTAGAGCAGCTGTGGTAGTATATATGGAGCCTAACAATGATTACGCATACAAAATGTAACTCAGCAGTTCAGAGATCAGTAACAAATAGGTCATAATTCAGTTATAAATCTGATAAATTTTGAGTCTGATAAATCTACACACCCATCCATTTCATCATGGAGTTAAAAAATACTTGCCATTAATTGTACTTATATTGTAGGTACATTTTTTTTCAATTTTTGCATTATTTAGGTGCATCATATTATGATCATAAATACAGGAAACAAAACACCTTTCTTTGTTTGCTTTTTCTTCAAAGGACCAAGTGGATGGTCTTGTTACTTAGTCTGTTAAAATAGACACTTGGCTTTATTTCGCAGGGTTCATGAATCAACACCTATGGAATCCCTTCGGTGCATGCAGCATGTACATTAATCTATACATACAGCATACATACAGGAATCTTCACAGCTCAGAGATCAAGAATTCATTTTATCTTCTCTGGTCACCTGCTGATCAAATATATACCTAAGTAATCTCACTGAAAGAAGGATCTGGTAGGGGCACAAAGCTGGATGACAATCGCGGATCTGCAGGTAGGGGAAATTACCGCCTCATGCAACCGAACAGGAAAATGTCTGGTTTACTGTGGCTAAGGCTCCTTGCAGGGACAGCACAAGCAAACAGGCAGGAAAACCGGGCGTATGGTGGCAGGTTGGAAAAGGTAGCCCAGAGAATGAAAGCTTTCTGGGCACAGACCAAAGGCTCTGGATTCAGGCAATTGCTGAGGCAAGCTGGTGCTCTGCTTATCAATGCTCCGGTAATAGCCAGGAGTGCTGTGGCAAAAACCGCTGTGCTGGCCCTACGGTCAGCTTGCCTTCCGCGTTTTGCACTGTTACTTTCCTGTGAGATTTCGGGAGGCGCTGTGTGTCTCCTGTCTCTACTGGTATCCCTTCTTACGTTGAAGGGGGTTGTTGTGACACCTCAAATCCCTTTAAGTTTGATGGCTTTGGGCTCCTGAGAGAAGAGACATCACATGCAGTTTAGGTATAAAGGGGAAGAGAAAGGCGAAGGGGAAAAAGGAAAGGGGAATTGGACACAAGGAAAAGAAAGGAACCCAGGTATAAATCAAGAAGCTTTTGCCGAGCGTGTGATAACATGGTACATTAAAAATGTCATTAAATTCATGATCTCAAAACTTTAAATAAAACTAAATCTTCTGATTTAAACCAGCTATAAGCCAGGAAATTCAGGCTTAAGAATGGGATCCTTTTACAGTAATTTTATTGTAGCTTGCTTTATCAGTATACTCACCAGGAGCAAATGCACCCTCTGCAAATTATCCACATCGTCAAATTTCAAGCAGTCCTGCCAAGACCTGGTGATAAGTTGCTATAACAGCAGCTTGGGGTTTGAGAAATCCACTTTCCTTCACACTCATGGCAACAGGTGACCTAGTGGTAATGACATCATTAACACATTTCACCTTTTTAAGCTGTCCCACTGGTTTACTTATACTAGTTTATGGAGGAATCACTTCATTTTGGTGTTTCAAGTCTCTTATTTTCTTAGTGCTATTTTTAAGAAAATAAACAGAAAAGTGGAAGGAGACCATCCTCTGGGATATGTGATTTGGGATGAAACCATCTGATTCCATCAGCAGATTTTGTCTTGTGTGAAAAAGAACTTGGGAATTTTTATAGCAGATCAGATAAGATTATGATCAATCTAATTAAGTTTTCCCCTCATGAATTGGCAATACCCGCTTTTTAATAAGCAGTTATTAGGTACTTGCCACATTTTCTAACAGATTCTCTGAACAGATATGTTTGCATTTGTTATGCAAATGTAGGTACGTATATTAAAAAAAAAGGAATAGTGTCTAAATTCATTGTTTGACTGAGTCCTTACCAACTCTTCACTCTAGATACACATGCAGAAGGACCTTTTGTTACTGTTGTGGCTATGTCTCTGTGACCCTTCTGGGTACTGATTCTTCAGAAAATATTACTAAATGAATTGTTTACCTCTTATTTTCAAAAGCTATCTTTCCTACACCTCTCAATTCTTTTTATCATGTAAATACAAAAGAATTGAAACCCACTATCTTCTATTTAACAATGGTAACATATAATAACGTCCTACAACTGAGATTTTTGTTTACAAAAACATTTGTAAACTTCCTTGAAAACTTGCTCCCTACAGCAACAATATGAAAAGAAACCATTTAACTCCTGAAAGTTATTTAAAAGATTTTAAAAAAAGACAAACCCAAAGTATTGGTAGTACAGCAAGTAGCAGCAAACAGTACAGTATATGGGAGCATTTCTGAATGGTATGGGGCCAGATTCTATCTCCACTGACATCAGCTGTACGTTTATCACTGAATCAAAAGGTCCAGGCCAAGACTCCCACACTGAAAAAGAGGCTTTCAAATGGGATTTGTGTTGAATATCAAACAAAACTGAGTATTTGACACTTTTATTATACTCTAAATGCTTGGGTACCACAATACAAGACAGAAATGCGTTGTCTCAAGCTGTCTTCAGCTACCTAACGGGAGGTTACAGAGAAGGAAGGTGGAGCCAGACTCTTCTGGGAGGTTAAACACAAAAAGGCAGGAGGCAATGGACAGAGTTTGCAACAAGGAAAACTCGAAACAGTAGGAAAATTTGTCAGTCATGGTAGTCACAAAACAAAATGTGTTGTCCGGAGAGGCTGTGGAACACCCATCCTTGACGACATTCAAACCTTGGCTGTGTATGACCGAGCAACCTGATCTGACCTAGAATTTGGCCCTGCTCTGAGTGGAGGATTTGGGTCAGATGGTGTCCAGGAGTGGGAAGGGAAGGGAAGGGAAGGGAAGGGAAGGGAAGGGAGGGGGAGGGAA